CTGTGGAGGTTTAAAATAGACAGGAATGCAGCCCAGCTCCTGAGCTGTGACGAGCGGGGCCTGCAGCAGCCCTGAACTTGCCCCTGGGGGAGCAGGAAGAGCTAAACCTGCTCAGCAGTCTTCCTTTCCTGGAACAGAGGGGAGCAGGTCAAACCCAGGAAACAGCCACCCCAGCACCCTTCCAGCCAAGAGGGAAGGAGGCGAGAGGGTCCCAAAGGGTCCACGTCGTCGCTGCTGCCGCTCTCTGTGTGGTGCGTCAGCGGCCCCACGCTCAGGGCCACACGGCCCATCGCCCCCCCGCGGGTGCTTTTCTAGAAATATCCTGCCTCGTGTCTGCTGCGGAGGAGCCCCCTCTCCCTGACGGGAGCACGGAGCTCCAGGAACGGAGAGAATGGCTCCTACTGCCCATGGGCAGCAAGCAGCCCGGGCCGACCCTGCACCTGCCACTGCAAATCTAGCGCCTGTTGCGCGTGGCGCGTGCCAGCCGACGCCGTCGGGCACGGTGGTCCAGTTCTCCCGATCCCAGGAGTTTGCAGGTACCTGGCACAGACAGATCCCACCCGGGCGGAAAGGTCTCAGGCAGCTCACGAGCGAGAATGCGGATTCGCAGGCCGGCGAGAGCCAAGGGAAGCCGCGGGCGTCACTCGAGATGAAGCCAGGCCTGCGCTTTGCGGCCCTCCGCGCGGCTGAGCTCCACGGACGTGGCCGTGGTCACCAACCGGAGGCAAGCCGCTCCCCAGGCAGAAGGGTGACCACCGGCTTCATCGGGGCGTGCTGGACCCGCCCCGGGGTCTGCCAGGACCGGTCACACACGACAGCGTGGACGGGCCTCCAACCGACTACGTGATGCGGAAGGAGCCGGACACAAAAGCACCGTCGTGTGTGGTCCCACTTACGTGGAATCGCGAACGGGCACGTTCACGTGCAGAGAGTGGAACAGAGGGGGCGGGGCCAGGGGCAGGGGGGGAGGGGAGGCGGGAGTGGTTCCCGGGCAACGACGCAGTTTCTGTCCGGGGGCGTGAGCGCGTCCTGGAGACGGAGGGCGGTGACGGCGGCGGCGGCAGGACCCTGGACTCAGGGCCGCTGAGCCGTCGACAGTGACAACACTGTCGTGAGTGACGTCACGACTGTGTCGTGAGTGACGACACTCACGGGGTACGTTTGAGGTCACGTACCTCCTTTCACGACGATACGGCGACGTTGTTAAAAGCGGCAGGTGGCTGAAGCAGGTCTAGGGGTTCATGGAGATGGGTCTCAAAGCAGGGGAAGAAGGACATCGCATACTGTGATGCCATGTGGGTTTTTATTTTTAAAAAGCAAGAACCCAGCCGACAATGCTAACGTGCCCGTGTGTTCCCACGTGAGAGAATTCGATGCTCTGGCAGAGGCGCACCCCAGGCAGGGGCGCGCGTGGCCCGAGAGAGAGGACGGGGAACCGGGTTCGGGGGTCGGAGCAGACTGTGGTTTGGGATTTATTCGTTTTCACGGGCGGGCGGTGCGGCGGGCTGAACAGTAATCGCCCAAGAAAGGCCACATCCTGGTCCCCAGCTCCCGCCAGTGTTGCCGCTTACAGCAGAAGGGGCCTGGCAGGCGCGCGTCCGTTCGGGGTCCTGAGATGATGGGAGGGGCCCGGGGGCGCCCTTGGAAGAGGGAGGCAGGAGGGGCGGCGCCCGAGGCGACCTGGCCGAGGAGGCGGAGCCGCGAGTGATGTGCTTTGAACGCGGGAAGGGGCCGCCCCCTAAGGAGTGCCTAGGCCTCTAGAAGCCTCCGGAAAGGCCAGGAAGCAGACTCTGCGCTCGCAGCCTGCCGGAGGAACGGGTTCCGCCAACGCCCTCCCCGGAGGACTCCACCTGGATTCCTGGCAACCGGCTCGATAAGAGAACAACTTTGTTGAAGTTGGTGTGGTTTGAGCCAGCAGCCACGGGACACAGATTCAGAAGGGCTCCCGAGTCACGTGTGCGGCTCCACCTTCCAAAGGTTATAAAACTGCAAGAGGAGGGCCCGGGGCGGGGAGCCGCTCTGGGGGAGGGGCAGCCGAGGCAGCCCCTCTGGAGAGAAGAGAGTGGACGCCGTGGGCCTCCGGAAACCTGGGAGCTGGGAGCCCGCGGGGAGGGAGGCGGGGGCTGTTAGCACGTGCAGAGCCCCCCCCCATCCCCACGCACTGCGGGGCCACGAGGTGTGAGCAGCATAAAATCCCGTCTTCACACGTTTCCTGTCAAAATCAGACATGCAGATCTTCACAGCGATGACAGCGTTCCGGATTTAGTGCCCGATTAGCACCTTCTGCCGCGAGGAAGCTTTATTTAAAAAAAAAAAATAACTGCATGGAATTAAAAATAAAAAAACACACACTCACCCCTCCAACTGTGTCCGGGGGCTAAGAGAGGAGAAGTCCCCTGAGCCGGTGTCCGCCCTGTGCCGTGGGAAGTGTGTGGGGCTCAGGGGACGTGGGCGAGAGCCACGTTAATAGACAGTTGACTTACCTCCTTTAGGGACGTGATTTGCCAGCGACAGATCCTGCGCGAGTGGAACACGGTCTCTTGTGCTGGGGCGCGGGGGTGGCGGGTGGGGGTGGGCTGCGCCCTGCAAAGAATCCGGGGAAGGGAAGGCGGGAGGCTGCCAAAGATGACTTTTCTTTTCCTCTTTCTTTGCCGTTCGAACTCGGGTTTATACCCTTTTAGGACTTTTTACATTGAATTCGTGGGAGGGGGTGACTTCAGTCATCCGAATTACGTAGGTTGCAGGGGTGTGATTCTGTGATACGGCATCTGTGCGTCGGGTTGTGTACTCGCCGGCCCAGGTCAGGTCCCTCTTAGGAACGTCTTGAAAACTGAAAAGCAAAGGGAGTCTCCCTCCCCGCTCCCCGGGAGGGGCCGTGCCTGGTGACCCCTCCCACAGGGCACAGCATGGAAAGTGGGGAGAAAGAGTCATGTCCCAGCGGAGGCAGCTGGCAGACACACCTCAGGTGACCCAGGTCAGCATCGGCGGTGACAGACCACAACGGCAGTGCGTACCTCTGACGTGAGGGGACCAGAATGGCCCTTGGCCTCGGTGGCCTCCCTACCCCCCCAGCCGCCCCAAACCCACGGCCCCCGTCGGGTCCTGAGAAGAACACCAGACACATCCCAGAGGACAACCTACGACGACCCTGAGCGGCCCTCCTCGGCTCTGTCGGAACCCAGGGACGCCTGGGACATGGCCACGGCCGAGAGGAGACGTGACGACCAAAGGTGGCGTGGTGTCCTGGACGGGGTCCTGGGACAGAGGAAGGACACGAGGGGGACACTAAGGAAGTCTAGATAAGGTGTGGACTTGAGTTCACAAGGAAGTGTAATAGTGTAATACGGGCGCCTTAACCATGGCAAATGCACCTGTGCTCGGGTATTCATAACAGTGGACACGGGATGGGGGGCAAGTGGGAACTTTCTGAACCATCTTGTTGGTTTTTCTGTAAATCTAAAACAGTTCCACAACACAGAATTGGTTAACAATTAACAAGGGGCTCAATTTGATTTTGAGAGAATTAGCCGAGGCACACGCTCACGGAGGTATGCAAAGATGCGTGCACAGAGGGTTCATTGTTGCGTTCCTTCTGGACAGCCAGGGACCTACACTTCTGGGACAGAGCCCCCGGAATACTACACAGCCGTGAAAAAGAATGTTGCGTGGTGGCAAGAACCCAACGGCCAGTGGCGGAATAGTAAGCTCCTACTCCTGCTAAGTGGAAAGTCACATACGTACGTGTGTGTTTATAGAGACTTCGAAACATTCTAGACAGAAGCAAAACTGTCCATTGTGGTTGCCTCTGGAATACGAGATCGACTGGATTTGTTTGTAACACTTCAGCTTACATCTTTGCCATGGAGACAGTTTTTTACAGCAAACAAATATTTTTAAGCGTTTGAATGTTCATTTGTGTATTGTGTCACAAAAGAGGCCAGATTTTCCAAAAGGGATAGAGAATCATATCACCCAGTTAAGAAATGAGAGATGCGCCCTGGCTGGTGTGGCTCAGTGGATTGAGCACCAACCTGCGAACCAAAGGGTCGCTGGTTCGATTCCCAGTCAGGGCACAGGCCTGGGTTGTGGGCCAGGTCCCCTGTAGGGGGCGCTCCAGAGGCAACCACACATTGATGTTTCTCTCCCTCTCTTCCTCCCTTCCGCTCTCTCTAAAAAATAAATAAATAAAAATTTTTAAAAAGAAATGAGAGATGTAAATTACTCCTAGAACTAAAAAAAAAAGAAAGAAAAACAGAAACTTTGTAAGTTTCTTTTTAAAGTACCACCTTGGGGAAGTTTCGGTTCCTCCCTCGAGAGCTTGTCAGCCTGGAACTCGGGTCTCTAGCTTTACCCATGAGCACGCCAACCTAGACATCACCACCGCTGCTCAGATGAAGGGTTTTTCAGTGTCAGGGCTGGCGGTAAAGATTAGAGCTGCATTCGTTCCGTGGTGCATGAACTTGACATCCTTGAAGTCGTCAGGCTTCACTGAAAATGCGTGGAAGCACAGAGCAGACTGTGTGTCGCTGCAGGGTCGGGGCACAACAGGCCAACGTACTGAAGAGTCACTTCCGTGAGCCCCTCCCGGGGAGGAAAACCAAGTTCTGGGATTCTCATGCATTTGGGGTCCTCTCGAGGGACCGCCTGTGAGAGTCCTCCTCAGGGACACCAAGAGTTAAGCGATGTCACAGATGATCGTCCCTGACCAAAGGGAGACAAACAACAGCTTCCTTACCTCTTGTTTTTATTGGCCAGTTTGGTGCAAAACAGAACTGGTTTTGGTGAGAGATATGAAGAGCGAAGCAAACATTTTAGAAACTCATTTTTTAAAAAACAAAGATTTTATTTATTTTTGGGCAGAAGGGAAGGGAGACAGAAAGAGAGGGAGGGAAACATCAGTGTGTGGTTGCCTCTCACGCGGTCCCTACTGGGCACCTGTCCCGCAGCCCAGGCATGTGCCCTGCCTGGGAATCGAACCAGCGACCCTTTGGTTTGCAGGTTGGTGCTCAATCCACTGAGCCACACCAGCCAGGGCTAAAATAATTCTTGAGAGGAGAATTTTAGCGACACTGAAGTGGGGGGTTTGGAGGACACCAGGCCGTGACAACTTGTATTTCTCTGTGTCATGGTGTGTGAACCCACAAACTTTTACTTACTGTGGGTTTACTCAGCACATAAACTTAGGGTTTAGGAAGTTTACTTTTGGGGGCAACCGTTTTGATTTTTGCACTAACATTCAGTAGAAGTTTACCAGAGGTCACCAGCAGCTGCTAAAACAAATCTACATCAATTTTCTTTCTTTTATATTCGTTCAAACAAAAACAAAAAAATCTTAATCCACAAGCGTTGTTGTACCCTTCCCTCCAATCACACACACAAACATTGTCTCTGCGGTTCTGCCCACCAGCAGCGTGAAGATTTCGTCTCTCTGCTTTCTGTTGACGCGCGAACTTGACCCGTCCGTGGGTACGATCACCGTCCCGACGGGCGTCTCCATTTTGCCTTTGTACCTGAACGTGAACTCGCACTGGGGTTTGCATTCTGCGTCGTCGTCTTTGTTTCTCATTTTAATTGGCTGGAAAACGTACCTGGGATCAGATTTGCCACAGTGTACTCAACCGTTCCCCTGACCCCGGTCCTTTCGATGATGAAGGGCTCCCTGCGGGTGCCGCCTTGGCGATGCTGCCGTGGACCCGAACACGCCCACACTCCGCCAGCCACTTGACAACAAATTCTCAGGATCTCACGTAGTTTCTGAGAGTCAGGAACCGGGAGGAGGTGAGCTGAGCGGTTCTGGCCCAGGGTCTCCTCTGAGGCTGACCGGGGACCACTGCCCTGGGGGGGGGTAGGGCTGGGCTCCTTACCACTCACACTTCTTCATGGGCTGCTTGGCCGTCCGCACAGGGAGACAGCTGGGCCCCCCCACCCCCCATGGTGAGTCCTGTGCCAGAGGGGTGGGCACCACAGAGCTAATCCGGGGCAAGGGTGGGGTGCATCACTTTCCCCTGGGGCAGCGTGAGAGAGGGAGGGCCACTCCAGGGCGGGACTGCCCGGGGCGGGCCACCAGGGGCCTTTCTGCGTCCCAGCCCCCTCTCCATCGTTCTCGAACCTCCGTCTTAGATCTATCGCACAAGAAAAAGTCGGAAAAATCGGCCACAGCCTTCACAGACCGAGACATGCACACTCTGCTCATCCACAACTCTCTCCGCAGCTCACTTCCCGGGCTGTGGGGATGAAGAAAAGTTACCTTCCTACGTAGTCATTGGTTTCCGGAACTTTCCAGACATCCAGCCGAGGACCCGCCCTGAGGGAGAAATGAGGTCATGCACACCTTTCAAAGCCGACTTTGTTTGGTGCAAGGAACCCTGATTTAAAAAACAGAAAGAAAGAACAAACCGGGATGGCTATTGTTTAAAAACATAAATACCACAGAAAACAAGAAGTCTGGCACGGACACGGAGAATGGAAACGCATGTGCGTGCCCGGTGGGAAGGTGAAATGGTATGACTGCTGCGTGGAACCGTCTAGCAGTTTCTGGAAAAGTCGACGCCATCAGCCCCGGCCGGGTGGCTGGGTGGTTGGAGCGCCGTCCTGTGTGCCAAAAGGTTTCGGGGCACACACCTCGGCGGCAGGTTCAAGCCCCGGTCTGGCTGCTCACCAGGGGCAACTGATTGACGTTTCTCTCTCACGACGACGTTTCTCTCTCTCTCAGATCAATAAACATACCCCCAGGCGAGGGCTAAAAAAATTAGTTAAAGATGTCATGTAACCCAGCAATTCCACCTCTGGAGCTATCCGCAAAAGCATGGAAAGCAGGGACGCAGACAGAGGTGTGCAGACCCGTGTTCATAGCCGCTGTGCTCACCGTGGCCAAAGGAAGGAGACACCCAAATGCCCATCGGCAGGCAGACGAACAGATGAATGGCATGCGGCCCCGCACGGGACTAGCACTTGGCCTTGAAAGGGAGGACGTCCTGACCCAGGCTATGGCGTGGCTGACCCTGGAAGACAGTGAGGGGGAATGAGCCCGTTGCAAAGGCACAAATGCCCTAGGATCCCCTTTGTGCGAGGTCCCCAGGGTAGTCAGGGTCACCCGGCCTGGGGGAGGGGACGTGGAAGTTACTGCTCAACTCTCGCGGAGTTTCAGTCCCGAGGCAGACGGGGGCGCCGCTGCGCAACAGGTGTTCACACCGGACGCCGCCAGCCGCGCACTCACGACGGCTTAAATGCCGAGTGTGACGTCGTGTGTTTTTTATCACAATGACGCTGCGACAAAAACAACAACGACAGGGTCCACTTTGGAGAGGGATTTGGCCACGCCCAGTCGGGCTGAGGACGGGACCACCCTGACCGCCAGCCACCGGAGGAGGGGTCGTAGGAAAAGACCGTTTCCGGCTACAGGAACCAGCAAGGATGCGTTCCAGAGACTTAATGTTGGTCCAGAAAAGCGAATAGCAGGAAGATGTCTGTATGTATCATGTTTATTACGTTTATGGATTTATGAGGTTTCTGGACCGGCTGGAGAGGCACAAGGGCACCTGGGGGCTTCCACTGCGCTGGATGTTTACTCCCTGACCCAGGAGAGTACTCACTATAATCTCTCTCTCTCTCTCCCTCTCCCCCCCTCCCTCTCTCTCTCTCTCTCCCTCTCCCCTTTTGTATGACTGAAATAGTTTATTAACCCCCCCCAACAGGAATAAGAAATTTACAAAAATCCAAAATCTAAAACAGCCAAACTTCACATCAAGATAACCAAGCGCCCTGGCTGGCGTAGCTCAGTGGATTGAGCGCAGGCTGCGAACCAGAGTGTCGCAGGTTCGATTCCCAGTCAGGATACATACCTGGGTTGCAGGCCATGACCCCCAGCAACTGCACATTGATGTTTCTCTCTCTCTCTCTCTCTATTTCTCTCCCTTCCCTCTCTAAAAATAAAGAAAATCTTTAAAAAAAAAGATAACCAAGCTTCCCGCACTTTCCACCTTTGTAACACCCCAACATCACACTAACCTTAAATATCTTTTTTAAAATACTGCTCTCTATTCTTATAGCTTCTCTCCCTCCCCAGGGCAGGGACTGCGTCTGAAATGGTATTTTTTTTCCTGCTTGATGACTGGTGCTTAGGCCATGTGGGGCGTTTAGACACTAGCGGATGACAGTGACGAGGCTGCTGACGTCAGGCTGTGAGTCCGACCAGGGGCGGGGCCGCTCCACCTGTGCCCCGGGGAGCCGCCCTCCGCTGCTCACCCGCAAGGCGCGGCCTGTGTCACTGACACCTCGTCATCGGGTCACCACGTTGCCTCCCGGCTCCTCAGAGTGAAAACATTTATGAATAACCCTACTCCCTTGCAGCAGAAAGAAAGAATGCCAATCTCAAGGCTAGCAGATTTGAAGGCTCCACTGCGTGAAGGTTATGTCCTTTTTGAAGGGTGCTTTCCAAATAGTTCCTGGGGTTGTGTAACCGGAGGCTCCCTGCTGGGGTGACAAAGCCTCCACTGAGAGAGAGGCGCTGGCGCATACATACAGCGTACTCGATTCGCTGGGGCAAAACCCCAGTGAGCCCCCAAATGTCCCCGGCCGCGGGGAGGGGGCAGGTGTGCAGAGACACTCAAACACAGTGTCGGTCGGCCAGAAAAAAGGGGGGAAATGTGCACGTCCACCTACGCGTTAAACGGATGCGTCTGACACTAATTCAAGGATTTTCTGTTTCTTTTCTATTTTCAACCACTTGTAAGAGCAACGAGAAGTTTGGGGGCAGCAGGAAGCAGGATTTTTTTCTGCGGTTGGCCCTGTTTGACTAAGGAAGTGGTGTGCCACTCAAACAGGTCGGCGGCGGCGGAAAGCAGGTTTGAGCAGAAGAATCATAAAAGAACTGGGCGGGGCTGAGCCTCGCGGGGCCTCGCTGGCGTCTGCGCCCAGGTGTGCCGTGCAGGGGCCGGCTCATCCCTGGTGGCTGCCGTTCTCAGCTAGGCCACCTGGCCCCTCTCCCTTCCGGGGTGCTCCGACCCCTAACCTCAGCCTCACCTTCTGTGGGGGTTGTGAGGAATTTCTGGACATCCTCAGGCTCCTAGGTGAGAATTTTCTGGAAATACAGCTACTATTTGCAAATGGGCAGGTCCATCTTTTTCCTGGAGAGAAAAGAAAAAAAAAAGTAACTGAGCTAGTATTTTTGACCATAAATTTGACTGTATACTCCCCCTTCCTCTTTTTTGTGGCCTTTCCTCTTCAAAGCCACCTTTTTTTTTTTTTTAAATTTGACTTTTAGAGAGAGAGAGAGAAACATCAGTTTGTTGTTCCACTTATACATCCAGTGGATTGATTTTGGCAGGTGCCCTGACTGGGGATCAAAGCTGCGACCTTGGTGTCTCATGATAACACTCAAACCAACTGAGCCATCTGGCCAGGCCTCAAAGCCACCTTTTTGGATCAATTATAACAAGTTCAAAGGAAGGAAACTATTGAATGCCATGAAAGCCTTTACTTGCAGATAACACAACATGTCTCGTCTAAGTTTCCTCCTTTTTCGACAAACGCGTGCCCTTAGTCACGAGAAGCTAGGAGGAGAGAGGACGGGGGTCCCGTCCAACGTATGGACGGACCATTCAGACCTTGTGTCCCGCAGACAGCGATGCAGAAGCACCACCCTCACACACAAAGCGCCCCAGTCGGCCAATGAGCGGCCCCTGAATGCCTGCACTGTGTTCAGGGCTGAGTTATGCGACCAGCTCTGCATAGCACGATGCCAGCATGGTGGACGCCAACCTGGGTGCCGGACCTGCCGACTGCTTGGTTTTGGAAACAAACAAACAAACAAACAAACAAGAACAAACTTCCTCTCCCTGGGGGCTCAGTTTCTTTCCATGTAACATTTGGGGGCTGCAGCAGTGGAACTGAGACTTGGGTTTCTTTTTTTTTTAAAGATTTTATTTATTTACTTTTAGAGAGGGAAGGGGGAGAAAGAGAGATAGAGAGAGACATCAATGTGCAGTTGCTGGGGGTCATGGCCTGCAACCCAGGCATGTGCCCTGACTGGGAATCGAACCTGCAACACTTTGGTTCGCAGCCCGCGCTCAATCCACTGAGCTACGCCAGCCAGGGCTTTATTTACTTATTTATTTTTAGAGAGCAGGGACGGGAGGGAGAGAATCTTTGAGGTCAGAGAGAAACGTCGATAGGTTGCCCCTCACATGTCCCCAACGGGGACTGGCTGCAACCCTGGCATGTGCCTTGCCCGGGAATCAAACCTGCGACCTTTCAGCCTTTGAGAGATGACACTCAACCCACTGAGCCAGGTCGGGGCTTCCTTCCTGTCCTCTTATTTCGGCATTCAGTTCCTTCTTTGGCCTCTCCCAGAGTGCAGCCTTTTAACTTGTTTGCTTCCCGGTGGGACTGTGAGCTCCCCAGAGAAGGCGCCCTTTCTCTCCGATGGGGGTCGGTGCAACCCAGGGGCGTCCAACCCGTGGCCCGCGGGCTGCATGCGGCCCAGGGTGGCCATGAATGCGGCCCAACACAAAATCATACACTTACTTAAAACATTATGAGTTTCTTTTTGTGATTACGTGTCGCAGTGTATTTACTGGGTGGCCCGGAGACCCCCTGGAACCCAAGCCCAGCCCACACGTAGGTCGTCCCCATAAACACTTGTTGAGCGAAAGCCTTGGCGGCCCCAGGATCCCGGGAAGCCGTGAGGTCCCCTCTGCGGGCTCCCGTGGGCCCTGCTGGGCTTGGACGGGCTGCGGTGGTAACTGCCTTCCTTCCGCCCCTTTCTCTGGATCTTTGAGTATCTTCTCCTTGAGGAAAAGGCTCTTATGACGTCATGGCGCACGCCCTGGGGGCAGTGACATCATCACTACCTCTCGCTATGTCAGAAGCTGGTTCCACGGCCCCTTTCCCTTCCCTTAGAAGCCCTCAACCTTCGCAGACACACCTCAGAGACGCTCCCGTCCCTCCAGGTGGAGGGCCGGCTCCGCCCCTGCCCGCCCGACGATGACGTCACGCCCCAGAGCTGGCGTCACGTGTCCGCCCCCCCGCCGGGGGCGGGCTTTGAGGGCGGCCCTTCCGGTCGGCGGAGCCTGGCGGCTGGAGCAGCGGCGGCGGCGGCGGCGGCGCCCGAGACGCGGGGATGGCGGGCGCCGGGGGCGAAGCCCGGTTCGCGGGGCTGTCGCTGGTGCAGCTCAACGACCTGCTGGAGGACGAGGGGCAGCTGGCGGAGATGGTGCAGAAGATGGAGGAGGTGAGCCGGCGGGCCGCGCCGGGCGTGCGGGGGGCCGCGGGGGCGCCGGGGCTGGGGGACCCGGACGCGGGCCGAGCGGGGAAGAGCGCCCCGAGACGGGGCTTGGGGGACGCGGGGGACTGTGGTCGAGGATTAGGGGTGGCAGACCGGACTGCGGGCGCCGAGGGCTGAGTCTGAGCAGAGATTTGGGGGGGCGGCTTCAGGGGAAGGTGGAGGGATACATGGAGACTGGGGCGGTTACTGGACTCTGAGACGAGGATTTGAGGGGCGGGTGAACTAGCTGGGCATGAACTTCAGGAGAGCACTGTGGCGGTGCCGGGGTGGCTGGGGGGCCGAGTGTCCCTAGCCGAGCCTGGCGTGCGGTTGTGAGATGGGCTTTGGGGTCGGGCGGGGGGTGTCGGAGGTGGGGAGGCCTCGTTCAGACCCAGCCAGCGCGACGCGGGAGGGGTCTGCCTAGGTCTGCGGTCCCCGCGATCAGAGGCGCCCCCTGGGGTTGGCTGAATTTGCAAATGGCCCTAACAGAGTTCTCCCAGGGGTGTGGGTGGGCTTCAGGCGGGTGGCAGGACCCCTTTCTCCGAAAGAGCTGCCGTCCGCTCCGGTAAAGAAGGGAATGCCGGGCAGTGCTGGCAGAGGGTGGCTTTGCCTTAAGGTGTCTTAACTGCACCCGCCACCCAGGAGATTTCCTGGAGCTGACAGCCCCCCCCTCCCCCCCCCCATGGCAGCCGGCTCCCTCCCTTCCCACGGGGTTGCTCTCCCGGTGACTGGCTTGGCCCTCTGCTTCCGCCTCCCCGCCTCCCAGCCTTTTGAACTCTTTCTCTGAACAGCCGGCCCTGTGGGCCGGGTCGGGGACTTGGCGGAGCAGGTGGACCCAGGCGGATCCCCGCTCTCCGGCCCACCCACCATTCCCCCTCCTTTGTCTCTGAAGTCGGAGACTTCCCACGCCTGCCTGCGGGGCTGAGCCAGCCTCTCACCCAGAAGCCCGTGGCCGGGGGGTGGTGTGGGGGGCCGATCGGGGAAGGGGGGGGGACTTTTGGCTTTCTTTCCGAAGAGGGATTGTTCCGCCCCGAGCCAGCCCCCTTCGGAGGGGCTTGTCTGGAGGTTGCACATTCAAAATCCCTGGAAAACCCTCAACAGATCATTGTCCGGGGCCACAGAGAGGCCACTGTAGTAAGATGGTATCAGTCTTTCCGTTAATAAACCCCTTGTGTTCGCTGGCTTGTAGCTTGGCACACAGAGCGTGGCTCTGGGGCGCAGTTTACCCCGTTACGGTCTCCATGTGGCGCTTTCCGTCTCAGAGAAATAATAAGTGACAAAATCCATCTTTCTCGGCTGAAGGAGAGTTTCACGTCTCCGCAGAAAGAAAACCTTTGCTTAGTTTTTCTCGGCCCGGCAGTTGCCAGGAGACCGTCTGTTGATTGCCGGCAGGCACGTCGCTGGCGTAGTAACGACCCGCTAGGTGTGTTCTCTCCAGGGAGACTCGGCCGCTGCGGCTCTGTTGTGGGCGGGACGTTCGTAGAAGTAAGCTGCCCGCGCTCGAGGGGAAGGAAGGCTGTGGGGTCGGGCGGCTCTGCGGACCGGCTGCCGGGGGCCTCCCTGGTTCCTTCCCCTGTGAAGCTGGAGGGGGCTATTTAAAGGGGAAGGCAAATCCATCTAGCAGGGTTTCTATTTATTGTGGTTTGGGGTTTGTGTGTGTGTGTGTGTTTTTTTTAAGTAAAGGTGACCTTCATACCAGAGTGTCCCGTGCAAATACCGGGGGCTGGCTGAACTCCGCCGGACGGGCCCGCATGGCATAGTTCACGTGCGTAGCTCGGCCTCAGCCTGTTCACCCGGGCGTAGGGCTGTTACGTGAAACCAGGAAACAAGGCAAAGACCAGGGCGAACGCCTTGGCCAGGCGGCTCCCCCAGCCGCGGCCACACTCGGCAGGTCCTGTCGCCCTGGTCCTGCGCAGTGAGTGAGCGGGCGGGCGGGGGTACCACGGGTAACTGGCATGGCCGGCCACCGTCATTTGGCTCAGCGGCCGATGTCACTGCGCTGGCTTCTTTGGGGGGCGGCTGCGAGGCAGGAGGAGACAGCACTCTGTGAACCGGACACACTCTGGACCGCACGGGGCGTCCACGCGGTGGTGGGAAAGAGCGGGCTGTGGAGTCCCGCCGTCCCTCCCACCGGCCTTGGCCGCGTCCCAGCGCTGTGATTGTTGGTGGGGTGGGGGCACTCAGCCTCTCCCGAGGCGGCGGTCAGAGGATGATGGGTGGGCTTTGTTCCCCGGGGCTGAGGGGTGGGTGGCGGCCGAGTCCTTCCCATGCGTCATCCGTGGTGTTGGGCAGCGCGGTCCTGCCTTTCCAGAAAGGGCGCCGGCCGCCGCTCACACCCCAGCAGACATCCGGACAAGCCAACAAGGTCGCGTTGCCAGAAGTCCAAGTGCGTTTTTACTCGCCGTGGGCCTGAGGAGCATTTTCCCCGCCTGTGGTCCTAATGCTCCCGTGTCCCCGTCGGTCTCCGAGGAGACGGGGCAGGGAACGGGCCTTTCACAGCACGGAGCCTCTTAACCTGAATCAAAGGCTTTCCTTTTTAACGGGCAGACGGCTGTGTTTCAAATTGCAGAGCAGGGCTCCTCCAGGCCCGAGGGGCTATTTTGTGGCGACTGGCAAGTGTGGCCGGGTTTCGCAGGCGTCCATGGTCAGGTTTACATGCGGCGGGCACTGTGCTAATTGCCGTGTGCGCGCCCGGGAGCCGCTCGGGGCGTCGAGGTCTCGGCGGGGCCGTGGCCGCCGCGCCCCTGGGCCCGGCCCGCGTCTGTGCCCTCCCTGTCCCTTCCTTCCGCCCGTTCTGCAGCGTGTCTCCGTGGTCTCACGGTGGTTTTCCCTGCTGCCGTGGGCTGGAGGTTCACATGCGCACATTTTTATTTTTATTTAAAGTTATTTTTGCATGCCGGCGGAATGCGCCGGTCTCTCTCTCGGTCCACGTGAACCCCGGTGGACTTGCAGGGCGCTCCCTTAAAAGGAACTGTCGCTTTGGGGGTTGGGCAGCTACATGGGTCACTTCTCCGGTCACTTCTCCCTCTGTGCTTTTGGGGAGATGCTGATTGGTTGGTGCTGAGGATTCAAATGCAGGACCTCTGTTCCCACGGCGAGTGGGAACGCCCCGTGCCAGGGCACCGAGGGCCTGAAACGCAGACTGTGCCGTGGAAAATAGAGCGTCTGGTCGGGGAAGAGCTGCTCCCTCCCGCAGGCGTGTTCCGGGGAGCTGGGGAGGGGGGGCCGTGCAGCTGCCAGGTGGCTCTTTGGGCCTGATGGGCCTTGCTGCGCTCGAGGGGGTGGGGCACGGGGTGGCCGGCGTGCAGGAACCGAGAGTCACACTCTGCGTGCACGCTTGCACGGCCGGCGTTGGTCCCTGCTCCTGTCGTGAGGCTCCAGCTGTTGTGTTTCGGCCTTCTCCTCTGCGGACCCCTGACTTTAACGCGAGTGAAAAATTACTGTGCCGGGGTGTTCTCTGGAATTTGATTTTTATTTGATTTTTTTCAATCCTCACCTGAGGATGTATTTATTGATTTTGGAGGGAGAGAGAGGCAAAGAGGGGGGAGACATCAACGTGAGAGAGAAACACAAATGGGTTGGTTTCCGTAATCACCCCGACCGGGGATCGAACCCGCGACCCTTTGGGCGTACAAGGCCACGCTTCAGCCGACTGAGCCACCCAGACAGGCTGACTTTCTCTTTTTTTAAAGGAGGCAGCACCAGTGTTGTGTAATCTCATTTCAGTTCTTTAAACTCAGCACTTCAGTTCCTTCACCGTGAAGGGGCAGCAGCCCCGCTGGCCTCCTGGGGTTCTCAAGAGGCCACATGGGGTCTCAGGAGGAGACGGGCCCCGGCGTGGCGCAGGGAAGCCCTGGGGGGGGGCGCCAGCGCCCTTCCCTCAGGGAGAGCTTTCAGAGCCGCTGGGCTGGACTGGCCGGGGAGAGATTGCAGAGATTCGGTCCTTGACGCCGTTGCTCTCTCCTTCCCTCGCACTCATGACGAGTGCCGTGTGGGTGGCCGTGTGGGTGGCGGGGGATGGAACTGACGCCTGGCACTGGCCATGTGGCCGCTTGGTCTTGCCAGCGGCAGCGTCCTTGCTGACAGTGAAGGGGACAGTGGGCGGGGACCGACGTCAGGGGGTCGTCCCGTGGATCCAGTGAGATCAGGCCCACGAGATGCTTCGTGGTCCTGCGGCAGTGGGCGGACGGGCACTTGGCTGGCCCCTGCTGTCCGCCGGCGTCGCCGGGACGGAAAGGCACGGAGTCTCTGCCGCCCTTCCAGGGGGGTTTCGTGCCCGCCCCGGGGACCTGGCTCTGCCCGGCGTCGGAGGATATGGAGAGCGGACAGGGCACAACCCCCTGCTGTCGCTGGGGAGGGGCGGGCCACACGGACAGACAGACGGCCGCCACGGGAGAGTTGGCGCGGAGAGCGAGCGCCGGGCCCGGTGGGGAAGGTGCGGAGGGAGAGGCCGGGGCTGGATCCCGGTGCCGGTGGCCCAGCCGGGAACAGGCGCTCCCCGCCGCCGAGCCGGGCCGGTGGGCGGTTCTCGCGGCCCCTGCGCCCCCAGGACTGGGCGTTTCTTTCCCTGGGTGCGACGGTGACCGACGTCGGGAACAGAGGGTCCGGGGGAGGGGACAGTGTTGGCGCGGGCACAGGACAGGAGAGCGGGGGACAGGTGTTACGGCTCGCGAGCACTGCCCCTTCGCCCGATCAGGTGTGCTCACGAGCAGGGCCCGGACAGGAAGCGAGGCCGGCCGGAGCGCAGTGCCAGGCCGTGGGAGGGCCGGTGGCCGTGCGTGTGGGGGCCGTGAGCTCCCGTGACTGTGGAGCAGAGGTGCGCTTCGGGGGGGGGCGGCGAGCCGGGCAGCGGCGTGGGCTGGACAGGCGTGGGAGGGTCCAGCAGGCCGGGCTGAGGGCGGGATGGACGTGCGGGTGAGGAGGACGGAGGACGTGAACTCAGGTCCGGAGAGGAGATTCGGGCCAGC